GAATTTTGATGATATCCAGTTTATTTTTTCTTCTGTTGTTTGTACTTTGGAGTTACATCTAAGAAACCAGTGTCTAAGCTAGGGTTCATGTAGATTTATGGCTGTGTTAGTTTTAGCTTACCCTCAACTATTTTTTTTTGAGACAGAGTCTCACTCTATTGCCCAGGCTGGAGTACAGTGGCACAATCTCGGCTCACTGCAACCTCCACCTCCCTGGCTCAAGGGATTTTCCTGCCTCAGCCTCCTGAGTAGCTGGGACTGCAGGCGTGTGCCACCATACCTGCTAATTTTGCTATTTTTAGTAGAGATTGGGTTTCGCCATGTTTCTCAGGATGTTCTTGAACTCCTGACCTCGTGGTCCACCCGCCTTGGCCTCCCATAGCGCTGGGTTTACAGACATGAGCCACTGTGCCTGGCCAGCTTCTCTTCAACTTTTTAACAGACAGCTCTGTCTGCATGTTCTGACTTTGATCTAGAAATACCGCTTCTTATTCATTCCATGTGCTACACGAGTGCTCCTTTTGAGCTTTTATATTTTTAACTGCATAGGAAGACATTTTATTCTGGTTTCATCATTGAATTACCTTATATTTTATTCATTTTATTGTGTGTCTTCTATCCTTAATTGATATCTTGGTCATTAATCCACGTTCACTGGGAAATTTGGCCAACTGTTTCTTACCCTATTCGTGACTATTATCCTTGGCAATCTGAGTGTCTGGATATAATGTCTTGGTAACATTGTTACCTTTCACTTCATCAGAAGTCACTTCTAGTGGTCTTCACTTACTCACACCTTGTTTTAGCAACCTTTTCCCATTGCCAGATTTCCCATTGCTTTACTATTCTTCAGAAATCCTAAATGCCTGTGTCTGTACGCTGGTTATAACTTTCTGTCCTCTTTCTTTTCTCCTTCCTACTTCTTTCCCTCTTCATTTTTTTCTTTCTCCAGTCCCTTAGCCACTTCATTTCTTCTTGACTGGCTCTACTTCTTTCCCTCTCTAACCTAATTGCCAAACTTCGTCTCATCCAAAATGCACAGTCAACTTTCCTTGTTCCATTTTCTTTCTGGTCCATTCCACAAATCTCTTGGTGTTGTTTCCTCAGCCCTTTTGTTATCTGGTGACAGGAGCAGGGCTGCAGGGGTGTCCTAAAGACGCTGACTGTTCCCCGATCGGATGTGTTTTCCCAGGTTCCTGGGCCTCACTTACCCAGGAATGGGGAGAGGGCCCTTGTGGTGCAGCGAGCTCGTTTAAGTAAGTATTGGACCCAGAGGGTTTTGCAGAAAGTGATTTCTTAGGCAGAGAGAGAGAGAAAAAGAAGGAGAAAAAGAGAGAGAGAGCATGAGCACAAGCGTGAGCGCTCCCACACTGTTGTGGGAGGGGATCCAGAAATGGAGTGTGTATAGGTAAGGGAGTAGGGGGGATTTGAACCCCAGAGTTACTTCTGTCCTATTCAAGTTCTCGTCCAGTGAGAGGAGCTTTTGCCAACCTCTTCTGGAGTCATTGATCTTCGACTCTGGTATAAGCTTGGTTGCCTGGCTCACAATCAAAGCCTCCTCCCTTGGAGCTTTTGGCGGGCTTTTTAAACAAAGGAAGGTCATCTGGGCTTTCTACCCAGCCCGTGTGTGGGAAAGTTAGACAAAGAGCTCTAGGTTTCTGAATGGGGAGGTGAATGGAGGCATTGCACTGGGAAATTCTTGCCTTTGAAACCACGCCCCTTGTGGACCCGGGAAGAGAAGTTAACATAGTCTCTCACTTTCAACCATCCTGGTATAATTTAGATGCTCAATAATCAATGAGTGAATAAATGGTGGCACTATCAAACCTTGGGTCATTCTGTTTGTCTGTTTGGCTTCTACTGTAGAACTTCTGGGACTTGAGAAAAATTATTGCTCTACCTGGAGTCATTCTTATACATTCATGGTCTCAGATTTCACCCGATGTCCCGGTACTGTTGGGTGATTTCTATGTGTTCATAGACAATGCTCTCGTTGTCTGTAATAGATATTTGTAAACATTCATTCTGTTTTTATTTTACCATGTGCTTTCTCACGTTGGCACATGAACTTCCTGTTTACTTCACTGAGAAAAATTGAGGCCAACAGGTGGGAATTTGCTTAGCTCCTCCCGGACCTCCACAGGAGTACTAGCACCTTTTCCCAGGCCTACCCCAACCTCTTCTTCATAGAGATGAAGACTTGGCCCTTTTCTCGTTCTGGCTTGTCCTCTGTTTGTGTGTTAGATTTTGCTTGGTCCATTTCCTGAAGAGCATGGCTCCATCACTTGTTTTTCAGTCTACAATTCCTTTGCCTACTGCCTTTCTCCGCTCAAGCTGCAAAAAAAGAAATAGTCACTTACACTAAGCTAAACTAAAACACAGTATGTTCAGTATTCTCTAGCTATCAAGAGTCTTCCTTCTCCTTCCCTTTCTATCCAGCGTTTTTCTAAGAGCAGTCTATATTAACTCTCCCTGTTTTCTTATGGATAATTCATTACTACTGAACTCATAGCTTTCCCTAAGTTTGATTCCCTTATTGTTAAATGAAACATATTCATTTTAGTCTGTATACTTATGTCTTTGTAGCATTTTACACTGCTGGTCACTTCCTCCTTTCTGAAATCTTTCTTCTGCTGGCTTCTTCAATCCCATTCTATGTGGAAGCCACATGGGCTATCTTAATAAAACCAGAGCCTAATGGTTCCGTTGTTTTCAGGTAGATGCATCTTCAGTTGGATGGGTTTGCTGGGGGCTGAAAACCTGATGTTGTCTGAGATTTAATTGCCTTTTGTGGTTTCTCAGTCATTGTTGCTGCTGCCTTCATGTTGGGCTGCATGGTCAGAGGTAGAATGGAGTTCAAGTCTGTTCTCACAAGCCTTTCCTTATTTTCTGTAAGAATACTGAGACTAAGGAACAATTTTTAAGAGACTTACCATTATGATTTTTTCTATATATATATATTGTTTTTGAGGTGGAGTCTCACTCTGTTGCCTGGCTGGAATGCACTGGCATGGTCTTGGCTCTCTGCAACCTCCACCTCCTATGTTCAAGTGATTCTCCTGCCTCAACCTTCTGAGTAGCTGGGACTAAGGCATGTGCCATTACTCCCAGCTAATTTTTGTATTTTTAATAGAGATAGGGTTTCACCATGTTGGCCAGACTGGTCTCAAACTCCTGACCTCAAGAGATCTGCCCCCGCTAGGCCTCCCAAAGTGTTGGGATTACAGGTGTGAGCCACTGTGGCTAGCCAGCCATTACATTTTTAATAAAGTTTTTTACACAGGTTCCTCTTGTCTCAGTTGAGTTCAGTGCAGCATAGTATAATAATGAAAGAACAGAAATTCTTTCATCAATAGAGGTATGGATGCATGCATCACATCATGATGTATGTATACAGAGAGATAGTAGGCAGCTAGTAAAGTGAATGAAGTAGATCTATAAACTGACAATATATACAAAAATATCAAGGTATAGATCTATTTTATACATATGTATAACCTCTACCAAAGACCCCAGGACCTCACTATGTTGCCCCAGCTGGTCTTGGTCTATTTTATACATCTGTGTTGTATATTTACACACACACACACACACACACACACCCTGTATCATTTGTAAAAAAGGATAAAACTATAGAATAGACCTGCATATGTTTGATGCCAGAAAATGTGGTATCTGCTCATCATACTATTATTAGTGATTTCATCTGAGGAGTGGAAATACAGGATGAAAGATGTTATGATTTCCTTTAACTAATTTCCATTTTATGTTCAATTTTGTTTGAAGTTTTTGTGATATTTCTTCTGTAATTTACGGACTTTTTTTTTTTTTTTTTTTTTTTTTTTTTTTTTTTTAATTTTTTATTGGATTATAGGTTTTGGGGTACATGAGCAGAGCATGCAAGACAGTTGCGTAGGTACACACATAATTTACGGACTTTTAAAGAAGAATTAGCTTTGACTTATTTTTTTCTTTCTTTAGCTTTGTGAATCATAATACTACTTTGCTTTTCTCATTTTCCTTTTGAACTCTAGCCATGCTTACTCATTCTCCTTAGCGGCCTTCTCCAGTCGTAATCCTGTTTAATCAGAACCCCAGGAGTCACCCCTGGTTCTCTAGGAAGCATTCCTGGATCACTTGGTCTGATTTTATTACATTTCCTCTGTGATCCCCTGGGAAATCTTCTAGTCTCTGGTGTTTAGAACAGAAGCTGTGCTATTTGACTTCGTATTTCATGGACCCAAGGACAGTACTCAGCAAATGATAGAAAGTCATTAAAAGGGTTTTGAGGGTGGGCCCAGTGACTCACGACTGTAATCTCAGCACTTTGGGAGGCTTAGGTGGGCCGATCATGAGGTCAGGAGATAGAGACTATCCTGGCTAACACCGTGAAACCCTCTCTGTACTAAAAATACAAAAAAAGTTTAGCCGAGCATGGTGACACGCGCCTGTAGTCCCAGCTACACAGGAGGCTGAGGCAGGAGAATCGCTTGAACCCAGGAGGCAGAGGTTGTGGTGAGCCGAGATTGCTCCATTGCAGTCCAGCCTGGGTAACAAGAGTGAAACTCCGTCTCAAATAATAATAATAATAATAAAGCTAGAATTTGGAACAGATCTCTTTAGCACTAGCTTGTTCTTTGGCGTAGGTTGTCATTTTTTCTTGAAGCTGTGTGTGAGAAGACATGTTTTAATTAATCTTAAGTTTCTTTGTCAGGATGTGTTGAGTATATGCTGATAGGTTATCCTAAAATAGCTCCAGGCAGTTTATTTAAATGCAATATGATTTCTTCAGTTATCATTAGAGGACAGGAGGTTGATAATTTCATCCTTCATTGTAACGCAAAATATTAATATAATTTAAAAATATCTCTTAATACATTAAAGGAAACCTACATTGATGTGCTTAGAAAATGTGTAACATTGACTCAAGCAGAAGGATAAATGCAAATGTTGCTTCTCTGTGTAAATTACTTGTCTAATCATTTGTGTTTTTTTTCTAGGTTCAACAGATAGATCGTGTGGTAGAAGTTGTGGAGGAAACAATTAAAGGTAATCGTGAGATAAACAGATGTTCATATTTTCTGAACGACGTAATAGAAACACCGCTCAGTTAACTCTTGCCAGACATCTTTGTAAGTTATTGTTTTAGGTATAAAATCGTAGAATGTTATCCTCTGCTTCACGGATTTGCCATTCTAATATTGGAGGCAGGCACTCTACTGTATATTTGTTTGGCTTATAAGTGAATCAGGCCAAGAGCAATGGCTCACTCCTGTAACCCCAGCTGTGGGGACTGGCGCTGAGGCTGGAGGATTCCTGAGGCCAGGAGTTCAAGACCAACATGGTGAGATCCTCGGATCTCTGGGGGAGGAAGTCAGCTGGATGCTGCGATGCGTACCTGTAGGCCCAGCTTCTCAGGAGGTTGAAGCAGGAGGATTACTTGGGCCCAGGAGTTCAAGTCTGCAATGAGCTTTAATTGTATAACTGCAGTCCATCCCGGGCAACACAGTGACATCCTGTCTTTAAAGAAGAAATTTATCAGCCAGATGCGGTTGCTTACGCCTGTAATCCCAGCACTTTGGGAGGCCGAGGTGGGCGGATCACGAGGTGAAGAGATCGAGACCATTCTGGCCAACATGGTGAAACCCTGTCTCTACTAAAAATTACAAAAATTAGCTGGGCACAGTGGCAGGCACCTGGAATCCCAGCTACTCAGGATTCTGAGGCAGAAGAATAGCTTGAATCAGGGAGTCAGAGGTTGCAGTGCACTGAGATTGTACCACTGCACTCCAGCCTGGCAACAGAATGAGGCTCTGTCTCAAAAAAAGAAGAAATTTATCAGGTCATAGTTTTTAAAAATTATTATTTTATTTTTGTCTAAAATTAGTTTGAATTTCAGATTAAAAGAATTTAATCCATTTTAAGATTAAGAAATTGGCTGGGCGTGGTGGCTTATGCCTGCAATTTCAGTCCTTTGGGAGACTGAGGTGGTCGGATCTGTTGAGCCCAGGAGTTCAAGACCAGCTTGGGCAACATAGCAAAACCTCATCTCTACAAAAAACAGAAAAATTAGCTGGGTTGGCGGGGTGCTTCTGTAGACCCGTCTATTCAGGAGGCCGAGGTGGGAGGATTGCTTGAGCCTCGGAGGTTGAGGCTGCAGTGAACAGTGATTGCACCACTGTGCTCCAGCCCAGTCGAGAAAGCAAGACCCTGTATTGAAATAAAATAAGGAATTTTTTTATTTGTACATTTTTATAGCACGTTATTAGTTGTTATTTTAAGTACTTTTAATGGTAATAATTTTGATACTCCTTCAAGGTGTAATTTTTCTCGTTGCACTAAAAATTTTGCAAAGAAAACAGAAATAAGCTTTGGTTATTTTGTTAGCCAACACTCACGGACATACTAAGGTCACTGTGAAATAAGTCATCTGCAATTCTGGGGATAATTTTAAATTTTTTAAAGGCTTTTTCCTCTGTTAGATTAGCACAAATGAAAACCAATAATATGATACTGAAATATTCAGTAAATTGAAAGTCTCACTTAAAAACTGTTTTGTTATAAATGAGAAATTTATATATTAACAGATAGTCTCCACCTGCCAAACTAGAAATTTTAATGCTGCACTTTTCCTTCTGGGTGGTGTCTGCTACTTTTCACATGCATCTATTCATTAATTTTGGATCATTGCTTTATCAGAGATTGTCACAGAATCAATTTCTAATAAATGAGATTATGAGAATGAAACTATACCGTAATCTTTTTAATTTTTTAAATAATTTTTTATTTCATAATTAGAGATGAGGTTTTGCCACGTTGCCCAGGCTGGTCTCGAACTCCTGGGCTCAAACAATCTGCCCACCATGGCCTCCAAAAGTGCTGGAATTACAGGCATGAGCTGCTGTGCTCGGCCCTTAATCTTCTTCTGATGTTTCAAAATAAAATGAAATATCAGGACTAAAAATTTATGGCAATGATAATTTGAATGTTTTTACAAATCAGTTCAACTCCATTTTGCAGCATCTAGAAGTGCTAACTGTTAGTTTGTTCTTACAGTGTGACAGGCACTATTTTAAACACTTCACATGGGTTAAGTCATTTCGTCTTCATAGTAGGACTGTGAAGTGAAGTGGGCATAAATATTTTCCTGATTTTTCAGAGGGCAAAGTTGAGACACAAGGGTGTACAGTAAGTGGCAGCATTGGAATTTGAATCCTGGCAGTTTTGCTCCAAAGCCTGTACTTGAGCATTGTACTGTGATCCACACAACACTGTTGTTTCTCTGCTCTCTCCGCATCGAGATTCACTACCTTAAAGGTTATTTGATTGAGTGTCTTAAGCAGCGATTTAAGATACTTGAGGGTATTTTTGCCTTATTTATCCTTTATCTTGAGTACCAAGTATATACAGGCCACTCAGTAATTTTTAAAAAAATTAGTGATAGTGAAAATCTAGGTGATCTTGGGTATGGTGTGATTTTTTTTGATACAACATCAAAAGTATGCTTTATGAAAGAAATAATTATCAAGTAAGGTGTCATTAAGTTGAAAACTTTTTTGTTCTGTAAAAGACAGTGTCAAGAGGATGGGAAGATAAGCCACAGAGTGGGAGAAAATATTTTTAAAATACACATTAAAAGGACTATTATCCAAAATATATGAAGACCTCTTAAAACTCAGAAAAGGAACAACATAGTTAAAAAATGGGCAAAAGACTTGAACAGACACTTTAATCAAAGAAGATATGCAAATGAAAAATTAGCATATTAAAAGATGTTCAGCATAATATGTCTGTCATTAGTGAGTTACAAATTAAAGCAACAGTGCAATATAGTGGTATATTACAACCACACACCTGGTACGACGGTCAAAATCCAAAACACTGACCATTCTGGCAAGGATGTGGAGCAACAGAAAGTCTCATTTATTGCTGGTGGCAATGCGAAATGGTACAGGCACTTTGAAAGGCAGTTTGGCAATTTCCTTAAACACAGCCTCATATAATCCCACAGGTGTGCTTCTTGATATGTATCCAAATGAGTTGAAAACTTATGTCTATCCAAAACACACAATATTTATGGTAGCTTTATTCATAATTGCTGAAACGTAAAAACAAAGAAACGGCCCTTCAGTAAGTGAATAAAGAAACTGTGGTACATGCGGACAATGGAATATTATTTGGCACCAAAAGAAATGAGCTAAAAAGCCATGAAGAGCCTAAAGGATAACCATGGTGTGAAAATGGATACCATGATGTGAAAGACGTCAGTCTGTAAGGCTACAGACTGTATGAGTCCAGCTAGTCTGACATGGTGGAAAAGGTGAAGTATGGAGGGGGTAAAAGGATCAGTTGGTGCCAGTGGTTAGAGAGTAGGGAGGATGTGTAGGCAGAAAACGGAAGATATTTATGGCTGTAATTCTATTCTGTATGATGCTGTAATGGTGGACAGTTGTTATTATACATTTGTTCAGACCCTTAGAGTGAACAACACCAAGAGTGAACCCTAATGTAAACTGTGGACTCTTGAAAACGGTGTGTCGGTACAGATTCATTGATATTAACCAATGTACCACTCTGGTGCAGGATGTTGATAGGCTTTGTGTGGGATGGGGGCAATGATGTGTGGAAACTCTGTACTTCTGCTGAGTTTTCTATGAATCTAAAACTACTCTAAAAAATGAAATCTGTTTTAGAAAATTAATGGTAGTTAACAGTGTGCTTAGGAGTTTGCTAAATGACTTGGAGAGATACACTTTCTATAGGAAATCGTATAAGACCTGTTACTCTCAGGCTCAGTTAATCAGGGATAGCTTCCTACTGATGAGTGTGGACTTGAGTGGATTTATTGGAGAGATTGTGTTTGCATTTAGCTATGAAAGTGAGTAGAAGATTAAGTTGAAGGGGATATTAATTGGCAGGTTTGCTGAGATGATGGTAAGTCTGATAAATTAAGTCTTTCTAATGCAACAGGAGAATATTTTTAGATGGAAGGAATAATTTTGGTAGTTTTCTTTAGTTTGCAGATCAGGAAGCTGAGCTGTGGAGGAGTTACATGGTTTTTCTGAGATCTCTTAGTTAATGGAGAACTGTTTCTATCAGTCAGTCAACTTCTGTTCTTCGCTTTCTGTTTCTACCGCCAGTACTTCATTCAGACAACATATGTCACTGAAATAATGCAGTTTTTACAGCAGTTAGGCGGTTGTTGGTTGTCTTTCAGCAAGTTACTTTTCTGAGGCTTCATTTTCTCAGCTAAAAATGGGCAGGATTAAATGGATAAGACTTTTGAAGTACACAGAACATATTAGGGCATTCATGTTAATGCGTACCTCTTACTTCCTCTTTAATGCATGAACTGCTGGAGTAATTTAACTGATCTTTGCCATCCAGTGACTCTCCTTTCAATCTGACTGCCTGTTCTGCTGCCAGTAACCTGGGATTATTTCACTCTCCTATGTGTATACCCTCGGTGGTGCCTCTTACCACCAAATTAATTTGGGACTTTCTGCTATTTTCACTTTGCTCCAGCCACCTCTGCTGCTTGATGTTTCTTAGATGTATTTTCACTGTGCTTTACATTAACTTTATGGTCCTCCACGGAAGTGGATGTCTTCTGTTTGCCCTCCCAGATCCACTCTCCATCTTGATCTGTGTCCGTGATCTGACCTGTAGGGACTGATCAGTTAGATTCCTGCCATCTCATGCCCAGTTGGATTCAGCCAATTGGAGAATGTGACAAGAGCGAGATAAGAGTGTTCATTCCCATCCCTCCCTCCTTCGCTGCTCGTTTTGGGTAGGTTGCTTTCCTTACCCCAGGGTCACAGCAATTGTCCGGTGACCCTCTCTGTTTATCGCTTTCTCCAGGTTTCTGCAGCTGTTCTCCTCCTTGCCTCTGGGATGGTAACAGCACCCCATTGTTGCTAGCCTTAGTGTATTGCATTGTCTGCTGGTTTTCCTAAACCTGCCCAGATTTTAGTAAATCGTTCCTTTATGAAAATCTTCTTAGTTATGTGGTGAGCCATCTGCTTTGCTGGTACCCCGACTGATAAGAAGTTAGCTGTGGAGCAGCAAGGCTCTGCCCAGAAGGTCCGGATGGAAAACAGCCTAACAGGAGGATTTTGCCCTAACCCTCTTGTTTCCACATTTGATCCCTGTTGAGCTGTCTTCGTATCTCATCTTTGAAGGGGCTTTAGACATACAGCCTCTCTCACAGCCTGATTGCATTATTCTTATTGCTGCTTATGTTACACCAAGTAGTATTTTAAAAACTGGACTGATAAGGTACATTGATAACTAAAAGCATTTAGCTCTATTATAATTAATATAAAACCATAAGGCATGTTTTCATTTATCTGTCTTAACTGTATCAAAATGGTGAATTTTTGATAACGTATTCTGAATGGATCATCATGTTAATAGCAGCCTGAAAATTCCATTCATTTGTGGTTTTGGCTTCAGGAGACACGAAATTATAATGAATTTAGGATTTTTTTTCTGTATCACTTTCAACATTTTACTAGGTGTGGAACTGAATGTAAGGAAAGAAATACAGTGACTAGTGGATTCATATTCATTTCTGTCTTTTAAAAATATTCACACTTACCTTAGTCTTGGCTCATATGGTTATTAAAAACTTTTTTTTGGTATGAAAACTATGAAAGGAATATAAATCTGCATTTCTTCCAAAAAAAGTATGTGAAATCCTCTAAACAAAAAAATTATTACAAATAATCTTATCTTTTTAGAAAGGTAAGTCTAATTGGCTATCTTACGACAAATTATTGCAAGTAAATTTTACCTATTGAAATTAGAAAACTGTTTTCATCATTAAGTCGTATTTCTTCTCCGGTCAACCTCTGTTGAGATCCCTGTTGTAATTATTATGTTTGCTGGCATCTTATTCAGTCAAATTCCAAATGCCTCAAGTGGTGGTAATTCAGGGGTTTCCCAATGTGGTGTAATTTGCAAGTTTCACTGATTTTCCGTTTTTTCTAACTTGTCAGTAATTGATGCCATCTTGGGATAGACCGACTGAAATTTCCAGGGTACATCACCAAGCAGCTTTCTTATTTAAGACATTGCTGTTAATCTTCACTCCGCAAGGTTTTGTACTTTGCATGTGGTACTTATTTAGAGCCTAAACTGTTCATAAGTTGAGACTGCGAAGCAGGACTGTATCCAGGGTGGTTTTATCAGGGTTAGTGACTGAATAACCACCTTACAGAGCCCAATGCAGACTTCCTTGACGATGTTTTCCAGACTCAGTGAGGAAGTGATTGAGCTCAGATATGTAGCATGCTGTGTCTAGAGAGTATTGGACTACAGAAGACATCTGCTTTTTCAACAGTTGCTTTTCAATCAAATAATTTGTATTGATTTCTACTATATGCTTTGAAAGAATACTTTTCTGCGCCCTCTCATTGTCTGTAACCTCTGACACAGTTAGTATAGTCTGAATGTCGCGGAGAAAAGTTTGTGCATTGCTTTACATATTAGGAATACTTTCCGGTCTCATTGGTGTAAGTAAATACAGAATGACTTCCACCTTCTAGTAAGTAAAGGAACAAGGAATTTATTACTTTATTTAGTTTTTTTTTCAATAAGCCTGTTTGTTTTAAGTTTATGAATACTTTACTCTATGATTACGGTTTGGTAACTTGCATTTCCAGTTGCAAAGGCAATGGTTACATTCTTAAATGTAGTTTATCTGCCTTGCTATCCTCTTTTCTTCCTATCTCCTTCTTTGTTTCCCTCACGTTAACGATAGGATTCTAGCTTTACTTATTTGTAGTCCGTACATCTACATACATTATTTCTAGGGTGAACTCCTTGTTATTCATTGTGTCTCTCTTAGATAGCATTTTTCAAACCATAGTATTTTTTAAAAATAATAGTAGACTAATTTCTTTATGGCTCCAAACAAAAAGTTTTATGATGAGACTTTTGGTTGATTTTTTACACCACTTCATTCTATAGCTTGGTTTGAAAAAGGACTTCCGTAAGTGTCACCAGCATGTGCTGTCTCGTATGTATTTCTGTAACTTTCCAACTCTATTGGCCAAATTATCAGTCCTGTTTTTAGCTACACATATACTGAGCAGCAGCTACAATATGTATAATAGTTGCTCTAGAAAAAGTCTTCTTTAAACATTGTAAATGGTCAAGTTCACCGGTTTTTTAAAAATGAAGATGGTAAGTAACTTTACATTTATCTAATATTTTTAGCCATTAAAGCTTTTAGAACACCGAATGCCTAAATGAATCCCCCCAGGTGGATTCTGCTGCTTTGCGGTGGCCTCAGAATGGTCTTCATGCTTTTTGTTCATCCTTAAATTTAATTATACAGCTTTAGTGTATTGATTGCTTATATTTCCTTTTCTGCTCAAAGATGCATTCTTAAATTATTATTATTTGAAACCATGTTTCATCATTAAGGGAGTTTATTTATATGAGGATATGGGTGTTTCTCTAACTTTTGATTTCTTAATTCCGGTTTTTTAGTGGGGTGAGCTGGTACATAGTGTTGAATAGTTTAAGTTGATGATCATGCTGTAGCTTTCACATAATACGCTATTATAGTGGTTCACTAGATTTGATTGTTGTAAGCAAGGAAAGGAAATTACTTTAGGCTTGAACCTCACAGGCTTCCCGTGACACAGTCCTTCCACTAGTCGTCACACTGGCCTGTCCAGTATCGTATCCCCATCTTTCCTTGTTTAACTGTTAACCAGGACTTACCTACCATTAAATTAGACTTACATATTAACTCTGGTGAATCCTGGTAGTGTTTTGGCAGATTTCATGAAGGTGAGAGTACAAGTATTGTTAAGTCTTTACAAGTGTGTTATCATTTAGACTTTTGTGAAACTGTTAACGTGAGCAAATATATGTTTGAACATCCTTGCTTTTACATCTGTATTTTAATAATTTTTATTTCTGGTATTTAGTATTTTCAGATATGGCAATTTCTGATTCCCAGGGTTCTCATTTCTCAATCATATTACTTTTTGTTGATACATAAATAATATAAAGCATCAACCCCAGAAAGAATTTGTATTATACTAAATGTCATAGTATTTGTTACAGTAGGAGCTATTTAGTAAAAAAAAAAAAAAGATTAATTGATCATTGGCAGTTGCTACACTGCTTTCATACACTGCATATGTATCATATGCTTTATTACGTGACTGGAGACATGTTATTATTCATTAGAGAATCCACTGTTTTTGGTTAGTAAAATATAGTGAGAATAGATGAGAATGTAAACTTAGAAAAAAAATAAACACTGGCAACTTCATTGCATTTTTCAAATGCAGGGTGAATTGTAGGTTAATTGTGGTATTTTCTGTTTTGCTTTGATTGTTCTCAGCACAGTAGTAAATTGTACTGTATTGATGATTCTTCTTTAGGACTTTATAGCTGATTTCCCTAAAAATAGAAATGTAAAGTGGGAACCAGGTCATGTTAGAAATGCTTTAGTATCTAAAGCTTTGATACGAAAATAAATATACATAGAAATTATTATCTTTGAATTTAAAAAAAAACAAAGATTTTATTGTTAGGGAAATAATTTATTATATCACAGGCAAGTGAAAGCTGGCACCACAAAGTAATCTGATGGCTCAGATGTGGGTAGAAAAGAAATTTAAATCTGACTTTCTCTTTTTCTTGAAAAGTTATATTTGATAATTGGAATAATTAATTAAATGTAGGATGAACTTTTTTTTAGTGATGTCATGGATATTTTCCTAGAAAAACTAGTATTGATAATTGGTACAGGATTTATTATAAGAATGTTTAATCGATTTGAACATTTTATATTTAATATTTTGTAATTTACACATTTTTTCTTTTAGAGGTTCATTCTGTACCACATTACAAAATATACAGAGATATGTACTAATTACTTTGGAGACGGAGAGACTAAATATCAATTTCATGTATTAGTTTGATGGGGAGAAAACTCATTTGGAGAATCTTCGGTTAGGATATCAACTCTGCATATCCTCTGGATGTCTGGCTATTGTAAAGACATTTATCTCAGTACTACCATTTTATAACAAAGTATGCATTGTATTGAGTAATAAAGAAATAGTAATTAAAATGTCCTCATAAAGGATGCTTTCTAACACACTAAATCTTTGTTGTAATTCTGAAATGTAAAGTGCACCAGTTATTGAAGCTGCGCTAAGTCAGCTGCTGTGATGGGCGCTCTCGGGTGCTGCTGCGGTAGGTGAGAGTCCTTGATTGAGACTGTGAAGAGCTGTGTGCAAATGTTTGTTGGTACTGACAGTGTTAAAGGCCTTGAACAACCGTTACAGCCTCACTGGTTCTCAGTTTCCTGAGTTGCGGGTTGTATCACGTGGAAGGTCACTTCTACTCTGAAATCTTGAAGTGCTTGCGTATGTAATATAAAATGGAGTTTCAGAGTCTATCATTAGAAAAGCTTTTGGCATTTTAGATAGTGACCTGTAGCAGAATTTATTAGAATGTGGCCAGCCTTTATCTTGCATCCCAATTTCTGTATGCCAGATTTGACTTTTTCTTTCCCTGTGCCTTCCTTCTTAAGCAGTGAAGCTGAAGATGTTTGTTACAGAGGTACCATGCATTTTTCTCTGCTATTCCTCTGTATTTTCAAGTGAGGAGGCTCTTGGGGAAAGCCCAGTTCTTGGACTCTTTTCCCCTTCCTCCATTCAGCTGTAGTGCAGTTCTGGGCAGTGACAGGGAGTGTGCTTCCCAGCGTTGCTCAGAAACATTGTGCCTCTTTGAGGCAGCTTTTGTTTCTACCCAGGAGCGTGTTTATTTTCAGGACTTCGAGAGAGGTAGTTTTAGTCTTGGTAACTTGGATTCCTGATGGAAGAAGTAATTTGAGAGGATTTAATGTAGGTAACATTATCTAAAGCAGTGATTCTCAAGAAAGTTTGTCGGGAGAGGGATGGTGGGCTGAGAGGACCCCTGACCTGAGAGCGGAGATGGTAGACTGGTTAATGCAGACTATGGGGAAACTGGGAGCTGGGAGTCTGCCCTGCAGCCACTCACCTAGATTTATTGCCATGGTAAGCCACTGTTCTAGACAGGTAAGGATCATATCAGTCAGTGTCCTGACGTGGAAAAGCAGCCTTGGCTGTGTAACATGGTCCCTGAGCAAACATGGTTACATTCACCCAGGACCATGTATGGTTCCAGGTTTATTACCTATGCCTTCTTCCACCAGCTCACACCCAGGAAAGTCCACCACCATGCAAATGAGTGGTTTCATAGGGATGACCTTTAATCTAATTTATGTATTTAACAAGTCATTCACAAACTTGATCTTTTTTTTTTTTTTTTTTTTAATCTTTTTGAGACAGAGGCTTGCTCTGTTGCCTAGGCTGGAGTACATTGGTGCAATCTTAGCTTACTGCAGCCTCCACCTCCCAGGTTCAAGCAATTCTCATGCCTCAGCCTCCCAAGTAGCTAGGATTACAGACATACACCACTACGCCTGGCTAATTTTTGTATTTTTAGTAGAGAAGGGGTTTTGCCATGTTCGCCAGGCTGTTCTCATACTCCTCACTTCCTGTGATCTCCCCGTCCTGTCCCAAAGTACTGGGATTACAGGTGTGAGCCACCACGCCTGGCCTTGATCATCATTATCAGTGCAGTTATTTGTGACCTATTTCTTAGCCCTCTAGAGCTTTTAAAAGAAATGGGATCTGACTTTAGCTCCTAGTGTTTGAAAGTTTTGAAAACCCCCTTGCCGTGTTGCTTTGGAGACATGTCGTTAGCGCTGTATGTTTTGATAGGAGTACAGTTGTTTAATTACGGTAGTAACTGTAATTAACTTCTGTCTAGCTCTTTGTAGCTTACCCTTTTCATATACATTAATTCATTCCTGCTCCACGGGAAGCCTGCATTACTGATTATGCAGTCAGGCAGCAGCGTACTCTAAAATGAAACCCAGTCCCCTTGTTCCGCATACCCTCCTTTCTATTCTGTGAAGCTGTTCATCTTGAACAGACGGAAATGAAAAAGTGAGGCCCATTTATGATTTGCTTTTCTGATACCTGTTGTTTAAGATCACTGCTCACTTTTTTTCTATTTCCCTTTAGATCTTCTCTTAAATAGTTTGTTCCTTCATGTGTCTTTTTCCTCTTTGATCTTTTTTCACTTTTTTTTTGTTTTATTTGCCGTTTTATTTTGTGCCAACAGAAAACATTCTTTTGTAAGGAGTTAATAAAGATATCCTTAATTTTTTTAAAGCAAATTCTGAGTAGACTATTTTAGTCATACTGTGCTGTAAAGGTAGAGTATACCTCACATGGGGAAATGAGTGAAAGTATCCTCTATCTGTGAGCAACTGATAAAAGAGCCAACCAATGAAAAGCAAATGAAAAGATTCCATGGCGAAATTTCTCATGTGTGTGTTGTAAGAATAAGTTTTGAAGGTTTTAATGTAAAACACACTTTGTATATATAGTTTTTACTGTCAAATGGTTGTGTAAAAAAAAAATCCTGCAAATTTTTTAAGGATATGTCTTAAATCTTTTATTCTCAGTCCTGGTTATGTATTTAGGGCACAGAAGTTTGGCAGCTGTAACCAGAAGAATTTTAATGTTGTAACTTTCCATCTTTAACAGTCCATGGCCAACACTGTCATTTTTTAAAATTAAATTTTAAAACTGTGTTTGATTAGTCTTTTGTCTAGAACTAGGAATCTCAAGCCCACGTAATTTCTACTTCATAAATTACTGTTAGGAGCATTTTCATTTTTGAAGGTATGGTCTGTCACCATGGGGCCCCTTCCTGCCAAGTCTTAATAAATCTTTTTAGTGAAATCCAGTTTAAGTGATAGGCTTTTAACTAGATTGGTTTTAAGAAGTGGCCAGGCACGGTGGCTCAGGCCTGTAATCCCAGCACTTTGGGAGGCCAAGGCGGGTGGATCACGAGATCAAGAGATTGAGACCATCCTGGTCAACATGGTGAAACCCTGTCTCTACTAAAAATACAAAAAATTAGCTGGGCATGGTGGTGCGCGCCTGTAATCCCAGCTACTCAGGAGGCTGAGGCGGAAGAATTGCTTGAATCCAGGAGGCAGAGGTTGCACCACTGCACTCCAGCCTGGGTAACAAGAGCAAAACTCCGTCTCAAAAAAAAAAAAAAAAGAAGAAGAAGTGGAAAACCAGTCAAAAGCAGGAATTCTAGCAAAAGGTACTGTGAAATAGGTATAATTACATATATAATTTGTATCTTGCTTGCTCTGCCTCCCAGACTTCAGTATTGCCTCTCCCAGAAGCGTTTCCTGACTTTCCCTGGGAGAGTTGACCACACACCCTCGTGCTGTTTCTGTGCTTAGAAACATCTGCCAGGTCATCTCTGACACTTCCTTCCACTTACCTCTTCAGCAGCCTGCCTTCCTCGAGACCTTGAGGCCCTTTAAGGCAGAAGTCAGAGTAATGGCTTAAGGTAGAGAATGTTGTTTTCATGTTTGTTT